ATATAAATATGAGAAGGTGGAGTCGTTGAAATATTGTTGTTTCGTGTGAGCTTGAGATCCGGATTATTTCTTTTGCATAATAAAAAAAATGCGGGCGTATATCGTAATATTATTATGTTACCTGATAAAAAGGAGAGCGTAAATACTTGCATATGCTCACCGAATAAATGAACGGCAAATTAATGAATAAGTATCGGAAGAAGAGATGGATCGGCTGTTTTTCTAGATTAACCTTTTTGCTTGCACTCTCGCATGGGTTACTACAATGACATACGCAATTTCACATTACGTACGAAAATCTAGTAGAAAGGATGGAGAGGTATATTCAGATAACATATATTTCTCGACCGCAACGGATACCTTTCACAATTATCCATCAACTTGTAACACACGAGAGCAGAATAGAATAAATAATATTGTATTAATCGTGTACTTTTTGCGATGTGCCGACTAGTCTCGCTTAAATCGGGATGAATATGAGGCATTTATAGCGATAGTCGCATTTTTTATACACAAAAATTTTAATGTTATTTTTACATTATGTCGCACATAATCTCAAAACATAAAGATTGTTATCTCGGCATCCCAAGACAACGAGATCGTTGTGAACAACTGGCGAGGAAAACGTTTCGCCGGGAAGTTGCTTGATCGCCAACAATTTACCTTCCGAAAGATCGAATATTTTAAGGATACCATCTGTACACGCTACAAACATACGTCCATCTTCGCACCAAGGAGTCGCAAAAATAGGCGAAGGCAATTGTAACGTATATTTCAATTTTGGTTCATTTCCTTCAGTCATCTTCCATGGCATCTCCAAACAATACACATGTTTGTTATGGCTAGCCAAAATAACATATTCGTTGTTTATAGACTCGACATTCCATATCACGGGATATGAAAACACATTGCCGTGTATCGCATATCGCCACATCTGCAATAATAAAAATTTGCTTACAACAGACATTGAGCGACAGAAGAAAGAGAGAGGTAGTTGTCTACCTGACAACCGGTTTCGATATCGAAACAACACAATGCTCCAGCCACGGAACAAAATAAGACGTATCCGGTTCGAAGAACAACAGGTGCGACGAAAATCGGATCCCGCAATTTATGTTTCCACGTAATCTGTCCGGAAGATTGCTGCAGGGCCAAGCACGAACCATCCAGCGTCCCGAAAAGAACCGAAGTCGATTGTCGATGCAAACAACCGGTAGCACAGATTCCACTTTCGCTCGCTTCAGTTTTCCATATTTGAGTACCGTCCTAATAGATATATAATAGATATATAAAGATATCTAATTATATCTATATTAATGCTAATAATTAATAACATCTTCAAGGTAGTAGTATTGATTTAACACTAGGTTTACCTCTATCGAAAGACAGTATACATAGTGGTCGTAGGAACCGACAAATATTTTACTCCCTTGTGAGCACGTTATTGCCGTGCATTTCACCATATCTTGAGTTTGAAATTTCCAAATTACTTCACCAGTTTTTAAATGGACACAATATACATACCCATCATAACAACCTATCGATATCACTCGTTAATTAATAATTTGTAAATTGCATTGTATTAATATCAAGCAATATACTTACCTACAATGCCGCGAAATTCAGGCAGGATTAAAACAGAAGCTTCTATCCTGTCTGGTAATTTTATCTCGTACGATCTATTATTGGTTTCTAGCAAGTCAACAGTACATATAATGCCGAAATGTGAGCCGACTGTTGCGTACAATTCTGTTCTAAAAATTAACAAACGCGTGTGAAAAAGGCATCTTTTCGATTAAAATATTTTTTTTTTCTGAGTTATCCTTACTTGGAATAACGGTAGACAATTGGCGAGGCATCGATGCACTTTTGCAAATTATATGTCGCTAACACTTTAATACTCGATATATTTTTTTCTTGTGAGAAAGTAGTACTTTCTTCTTGTATTAATATACTGCTGTAAATTTTTCCTCTACATTTGTACCACTGACGAAAATTTTTTTTATTTGACAATGATGGAGAATTATTCGATGATGATTGTCTTGTTAGAGATTCTTTTGCATTAAACATTTTTTGGGAAGACTTGTCATTAAAAGAAATGCGGCGACTGACATTCTGGCTGCAGTCTTGTTCAATTAAAGTATCTCTAATATAATTGACGCATTCGTTACATGTAACATCCTTAAGTAACATACCAATTAATTCGGGGAACTCTGCATTAAAGGCTTCAGTGGCAGCGCTTGAGATTTGAAGCGCTACTATTGACGTACCGCCTGACGTTAAAAAACCGGTGTCTTTAGATTTTACATGATTGTTCCACAAGTTTCTAAATATTTTCCCCGCATCAGTACACAAATCGTTTACAATGATAATTTCTGTTTTAGATTCTTGGCATATTTTTTTTAACGACGCATGGCAAATCTTTCCACTAGTGGTAAAATTAAAATCATCTATTATAATTATTTTATCAGGCTTATAGATCGTCGGTAATATTTTTAGATGCGACATTATATCTTCTTTTAACTTCGAAAATTCTTCTTTGGGTTTTGTAGTAGATACACACAAATATAATTTGTGACTTTCTGCGTCCCAGAAAGTGGAACAAATTCGTACAAAATTTAATTCCGTCACGACTTTCTCGAGTTCCCATAAATTCACTTTATTTCCAAATCTTTTTATGATATTATTTCGTCTTCCTTTATAAAATATTCTACCCCGATCATCTATCTAAAAAGAAAAAAAATAATATAAATTCGAAAATTTTTTTAATAAAAATATTTAATTTGAAGAAAATTAAAAAATTATACTTTGTCAATGAGAGGGAAACTTACTCACTGAGACTATATCGCCAGTACTACGAAAAATTGGCTTATTTAAATCTTCGTCAATTTCATTTTCAATGATACAAATTCTATTGATACTTCCTATATTGAAAACATAAAAAAAATAGTTTATATAAAATTAAATTCCACAAACATATTTTACATACAATATAATATTATACATTATATATTTCTTGTTTAATTGTAATGTTAAAAACTAACCAATATAAAGAGTACCTTCACCACTAGTTATCATTTCATTATCTTCATTCCTAATTTGAAATATAGTTTCTGACAATGGTTCACCTAAACAAGATTCATCTATGTTGTTTTTGGCGATTTCATTAATACTGGACCAACACGATATTTCGGTTATACCATAGATATTAAATAATCGTGTCATATTCTGCAAATGACTAGCTTTTAATATACATTTCATACTAGGAAATGGTTCTCCACCCAAGAGAAGAACTCTTAACTGAGAATCTTTGCCCAAGATTGTTGTCCTCAAACGTTCAGTAGTCCACATGTTAAAAAGAAGCGATGGAGTAATTTGAAGAACCGTTACATGGGCATGGAATATCTCCTCTAAGAATCTAAAAAATATTTTCATTTGTATGTACATTATAAATCTTATTTTATTTCTTTCAGCATTTTTCAAATTTGTTGTATAATAGTTATTTACCTGTCAGCTTCATTTTTTAATGGTTTTGAAACCATAAATAGAGTTGCAGTGCAGGAAAAGCTTAAGAAAACTTCCACAATACTAGGATCAAAGGTAAAATTTGTAAGTTGTGCAATTTTATCAGAGTTTGTTATATAAAGAATTCTCCTTAAATCTATAATATTAGGCAATATGCAGGAATGTAGCACTTTAACAATTTTTGGGACTCCGGTTGAGCCTGAAGTGGCAATTGCATACGCAAAACGATACCATCTTCTATTAATGTTCTTTCCTTGGACATTTATTAATTTTGTCAAATATATTGGTTGCCCATGAATATCGAATTGACATATGATCTCTTTGTTGGATGTCACATATTTCATAAAAACATAGTTTACATGTAAACTGGTAAGTATCTGTTTATATGTCGATGGATCTGCAGGTACATTGAAAAAAGCATGTCCACTATCAAGGATCCTGCCAAGAAATATGAAGATGAATTTAAAATAAATATTTATCATATATATTACAAACGTAATATATATATGCAATAAAGTAATGAATCGAATATTTATAGAAACATTTAAATCTCTTACCCAAGCATTAAAGAAGGAACACAGTATTCTAAAATATCCAAGTTAATACCGATAAATTCAGGATGCTGTATATGTTTCAAACAATTCGAAACTATTTCTTTCATCACTCGCAATTCATTGTAACTTATAATCTTGACTTCCTTTAAATCGTGATATTCTATAGCTATTTTGTTTAGATGAAACCAACTACATATATTATGTAAGGATTGTGGACAATCTTGCTTGTCGTCATCTTGCAATTTTAATCTTTTCGTATCATTAACTAAAAAAAACATGAAAAATTTTATAAATGGAAATATATTATATTATATGCATTTAGAAATTCGTATTGCTCTCGTAAGATAAAATTATAGCGATTGATTACATTAATCGATGTACTCACTTGTACGACTCATTGCACATATAAAGCACATACACACCCACAAATATTACATTAAAAATATATAATGTTCTTTTTTTAATTAAATACGTATTAATGAAATTCACGTAAAACTAATTTTTTAAATAAGGATAGAATTAGATGGTAAATATTTATTCAAGTCTCGTTGCTGATTATGTTTTGGTATAAAGGTTAGGAGACTGGGTTCTCAACCTGTGATCTTACATTTATTTGCGTATCAAAGATATACAATAACCAAACTAATTAATTTTATGCAACATACAGAATTTAATACGGTTAATTAGCAAAATAATTTTATGCGTTTATAATTAAGTCTTTTTTAGTTCCTACATTTAACCATAATTTAACCGTTTTGTTTTTTTTTAAAGGAAGGGTTTGAAGAGAGTGTATATAAATTTTTGAAATCTTTTATTCAATATATCATTAAACTGTGTATACAATTTAGTCTTAAGTAAATCTTTACAATATATTTATGCTAAAAACATTATTAAGCGACTCAACATAAAAGTACTCTTATATCATACTATAGTAATATCAAAGAATTTTGTAATATCTAAAGTTTAAAAAGTAAAATATGGATAGAATATATGAGACACAGTAAATTACAATTATTATTTTATATTTATTTAATGGAAATAAATAGTGGATATAGTAGTAGAGGAGGAAAGGTCATATAATTTTAATATTTTTACTTTGAATAAAAGTTTTTAAAATCTTTTATTCAATATATCATTAAACTGTATATATAATTTAGTCTTAAATAAATCTTTATAATATATTTATGCTAAAAACATTATTAAGCGACTCATAAAAGTACTCCTATATCATACTATAGTGATATCAAAGAATTTTGTGTTGTTCTAAAGTTTAAAAAATAAAGCCTGGATAGAATACATGAGACACAGTAAGTTACAATTATTATTTTATGTTTATTTAGTGGAAATAAATAGTAGAGGATATAATAGTAGAGGAGAAAAGGTGGTCACATAATTTTAATATTTTTACCACAATTAGTTGATTTTTTTTTTTTCAAAAAGAACTCTTACTGGAGAGAAATAATGAACTGTTCAACATTCAAAATATTTTTCTATTTTACTTCTCCTCACACCACTCGTTCTCCTTGCGCACCTGCTCTTCCTCCGAAGCAGTAAAGTCATTCTTGATGTTAAATGTTTTACGTATCTCCTCAGGTGTCTTGCCTTTGATCATATTAGCAACGGTTTTGCATGTGACATCTAGGAGACCCTTGATGTCGAGGTAGTTAGCTGCCAAAATCAATTCGAAGAGTGTGCCTTGATCAACCTATAAAACACATATGTTTGAGTTTATAGCAAAATTTAATACTTTTGTCATAGTGTATTCCCGTTTATATAACATTATTAATATTTATTATAATTCTAAACTTTGTTTGGATTCATTGTTTGGTGTAATTAACACAGAATATTTACTTTTAGAAAATCAGCATCCCATGAACTGATGTCATCAGTACGCTTTTCTTTGTTTTCGTCATCTTCTGGTGGTGGAGGATCGTCCTTGTGATATGTAGCCCACTGTATGACCTTTCTAAGAATCGCTGAATTAACATTCGGCAATGGCACAACCTCCTCTTCATCCTCGTCCATACCGAGATCCTCCAACATGGTCTTGATGGTGACCGAACATTTTGCGATCTCAACGTCGACCTCGAAAACCTCGCCGTCGGAGCTCTGTAGCTTTATGTTAGGCATCTGCATACATACAAAGGTGGAAATTATATTATTATACACGAGATAAAAGATGATAACATAAATCAAGCTGATTTTATGATACTTTTTCAGGATAGTACATTCTAAGTAAAAGTTTTTTTATTTTTTTTATGAAATAATTAACAATAATTTAAAAATATGTATAGTAATTTTGCAATTATTTTTCAAGCATCTTTTTCGTAACATAAAGTAGGAATGGTAGGAATGTTCGTTAAACGAGCAGTGAAACGTAAGTGAAAAATGAAAAAAAGAGCAGATGATAAATGGACATGGTCACAAATTGTGAATTGTTGTAGAACAAAGAAAGAAAAAGAGAGAAAGTGACAAGCAAATATTATCCGCAAGCAATCAAGGATCTTTCTTACTGTATGTACATACAAAGCGATGTATATACCACGCTTTCTCTCTCTCTCTCTCTCTCTCAACATAATCTAACCTAATCTTACAATCCATAAAAGCTTGATCGCACTTGACTGCGTAAAAACTGAATGTTTGCAAACTTTGAAAAAAAATTTACTTCTCGTATATATTTATAAACTTTTTCTCAGCGGTAAAAAAGAGAGGCAAGACGTTTATAAGAAATTTAAGTTCGAGATTTTTCAATTTCTGATAGTAACCAGAAGATATATGTAGTGTAACATGGCAATTTTTAGAATATTCAGAGTATTCAATTACTACGCAACAGCACGAATAGGCTCTTACTGGCCATAATTGTAATTTAATATCTTTAGGCTTCTATTTATACATATCATTGTTTAACCTAATCGTATCCCATTTTAATTTATGTATGTATACTATTTTTATTCTATATATTATCTCGTTCGATTATTCATATTACAAATCGTTTGGCGCATAAAAAGCCTTTTACACGGGGACGAAATATCTTCAGCCACCTGGAATACTAAATCGAGAAAATGTGATAATTACCTTTTTGGTGGCAAAATAGAAACCGTCGATTCAAACGTCGCTTCTTGCCTCGGAGACTCTCCTTCACGTTCTCGTTGCTGCTTGTCTCGGCTACTCCCTTGGCTTTGCTCCTGATACCTATCCTCCGTCCGATACCAGATTCAGAATAATGGAGAAAATCAGCTGTGTGCTGTATCACGCTATTTTTCAGATTTTTGCCTGTTCGATGTTCGATGAGAACAAGGAAACAAGGATAAGGACAGGTAGAGAAAGCCGGGGGAGAGTTTTCCGAGAGTTTCAAAGCGTCATCTGGAATCAGTTGAAACTTCCTAGCCGATTCGACACGATCGGTAAGATCACTCTTTACTGTTTCGATGCATACTCGTGCTACATCAATAGAATGATTATTGGAGATGGTGACAGATGGTGCCACAAAGCAATTTTCTTATTGCTAAATTCAGACAATGTACATCGATACAATGAAGAGAATATTTGTACGCGTATGTGTTTGCTCAAGAGTATAATAATGTAACAAAAAAGGTATGATTATAAGATATATGCATATATATAATGTTCACTGTGATATTTTTTAATAAAAATATTTTTCTATCGTAGAAAATTTTTTTTTAATTTTCTATTATAGAAAATTTTTTTCTACTTTTTCTCGTTCTCTCTCTCTCCACGCGCGCGTTTCTTCTCTATTATCATACTCTATCAAAAAAAAAAAAATTTTATTGCGACGATACGGTTTTATAAAGCGAGAAGAATCACATGTACACACAAAATAAAGATTTTTTTTTTTTTATTAAGGAGCTAATATCGACTATTTTGTATGTGCTTAATATCGCGTAAGCAGGCAGCCGTATTTTGGTCGCGTATTCTTTTCTTGAAAGAGCGAGCTCAACAAGTTAACCGTGATTTTCGAAAGTTAACAAAGGCGGATTATTTACCCGGGCAAAAAGACAAATAACACGTATGTCAAAATGAATGCTCTATGTTTGTTTTGTTTGTTATTGTTATACAGTTTTCAAAGTTTTAGATGAACTGAGTAATTTGAACTACACCCATTACAATTTTTTGGGGGGCACAATATATGTATATCTTATTATTGATTGATTTTTGAACAGAAATACCGCGTCGAAAAAAGCGCAAATAGAATTAAATAAATTAAAACTAAATCAAACGCGTATAAAGTTATCAAATTTAAAGCGTGTTTTATTTCTCGGTTCCCCCTTAAAGAAAATGAATGATATGTAATAAGGATGGAATGTGTAAAGGAGGGTTTATTAGAATCAGAAATTTATTTTACAATGATTTTTTTTTATTGTGATTATTTTATTAAGGCACTTGACAGAAGAAACCAAAATTACGCGTAATTATCAGATTTAATCTGATGTTATTTACGTTTCTGAATTTTTCGAAATTGTTTTAATTAAAGATTGTAAGATGAAGTAATGTCATTTTTCAAGCAAACCCGATAGTTTTTTGCTTCTCTGGTAAGTCATTGCCTTTTGCCGCGCGCGCGATAGCATTTTCTCGATTCCCCTTTCTTGATACATAGATAATGGAGTCGAAAAAAGTATCAAACGTGACGCTGCGATTTTTAGAGGCCATAGAATTACGCACAAACCGCTTCGGTTCCAGGAATCTATAAAGTTCATGATTGCATGCGAAGTGAATGGCGGGCGTCAGCACCCACGCGAAAGACACACACATATACACGCGAGCAGCTAAGTTTGCGAATACGGATAGATTAATTCTCGTTTGGTCCCGCCCTATTAAAAAAATGCTTTCTCTCTTTTTATCAATCTTAACTTTTGTTCGACTAATAGAAATGGGAAGAAGAAAGGGAAATTCTTTGTGTTGGACATGGCAGTATAAATTCGTCTCAAGGTTGCGAGAAATAAAAGCGAAAACTAAAGAATTTAAAGAATGAACGAAGCAAACTCGAGTGAAATACGGATAAATATTGCGAAAAGGTCACTTTGATTTTTACATAGATTATAATGGATAGAATCCTGCATTGTGTGCACATTAAATCACGTTGTGGACTTCTAGTTTCTGAGATATATCACTTCAAAATGTTCTACTTTTTAAACACTTAAAAATAATATATCTCTTATTCACTATAATATATGTGAAAATCAAAATAATCGGTTAAGTGTAACTTTTTCGCAGTATTTATCAAAATATATTATGTGTACTGGAATTTCTTTCAGTTTTTCCAATTTGTGTGTGTGTGTGTTAATCTTTATAAAATTAACTGATCGGTGAACTTTATTATATAAGTAAACTATTCGAGCGATCATTTAATGACTGTTGACTGAACGATTAATTATCATAAGTCGGTTTTTTTTATGAAATATGAATTTCATCTGACATTCGTCTTCGATGAATTTTTTATTATTCACACATTAATACGTTTCTTTCGAGCTATACGATTTTTTATTTTCGGGAAATTTCAGATTTTTTTGATTCCGAAAAAAGTGAAAAAATGTAACTAATGAAGAGATTGAAACGAGAGAAATCGATAGTGAGACCAGAAGGGTTTAAAGAGAAAGAAAAGGTCACGCCCGATTTACTCAGAATTCATATTACGCGGTATTACATAATTATACCAGTTGGCAATGACAAATTGGATTGCAGTGGTTGAAAAATTTAATTAAAGATGCCCGATGTTCTTTATCATTATTTGATTGCCAATTGCGTAATTAGTTGCTAAATATTAGGAAAAAATGATTTTTGCAGAAAGCATTACAATATTAATATTATATAACTCGCGTAATATACGAATCCCTCTTGCTTAATTGTTAATTAAAGAAATTCAATGATTATAAAAGTTGCGTAAGTACAAGGCGCGGAAATGCTGCGATTTGCGCATTACAAAGATTATTGATGCTTTTATATGTATCGAGCTTTTCGTATTGATTTATTAGTTTTGACATTGTATGTACACTGCGATTACTTTTACTCGAGATGCTCTTACTTTGTTTTATTTCTTTTAGAGTAATGAAGTTTCGGTTTTCTTGTGAGAAGAACTTTTAATAAGGAAAATTATATAACGCGTTTGACGCGATTTGCAGGAATAAAATCAGTATTTTTAGAAATTCTAAATACATTATATTAATTTGAAAGAAATACACAAGGTGTAAATGATCTTAGTGTACAGCTTACGACTTACAATCAGATTGGACAGTTGTAAGCTGTTGGATATATGTTTCTTTTTGTTTTCAAATTAAGTTAACACATTTTTTCTAATTACACTTAAGGATAAATATATCATTTGCATTACTCATTTAAACGAATTTACGAATGATATGCGTATATCTACATTATAAATAGAGATTTGAATATCCTCTTCTTATCATAATTTTATCATTCGATTGATTTTTTGCAACAGATGCCACAAGATATATAGCAGATATCAAGTCAAATAATCTTTAATATCAGAAAAAAGATTTACCTTTGGGATTAATGTAAATAATGTCGGCGATATGTTAGAGCTGTGCGACTAATTAAATCTCTTAAAAGCGTTTTGAAGCCGTCGGGGCTCCTTTTGCCCTCTCGTGGAAGAGTAATATGTATTTTTCTCTTGACGCGTCTTTCAAGCGATGTCTCAATTTTCCTCGCAAACAATGAATAGCGGCAACGAACGGCATCTTTTGATGGCAGCATGTAACGTGCCTAAAAAATCTAACGACGTCGCGGAAATTTAACATAGAAATTATAAAGTTGGCATGCAAGTTTTCTAACTTCTGCCGGATGAGAGAAGAGAGAGAGAGAGAGAGAGAAAGAGACGAGCAAATTAATTCTTCTTGAAGAGAAATATTCTTCGCGGATCAAGCGCAAGATATCTACGAAAGATATTTATGAAAATTTGGAAACAAAGAAATCATACAATATTCTCCGAATGCACTTATCTATCAACATTTCGAAACAATTCTATTGTCGTAGCGTCCTGATGTTCTCGAGTCGAAATTTCGCTCCTATTTTCAACCTCAATTTTCTCATGTTTCACAGATGATTCTAGAGGATTTTGATAGGTTTAATTTATACGAGATGATTTATTAAATGCATGTAATATTTTAGAGAATGAATGTACACATATGTAAAATAAGTAAGAAATGTTATATGAACGTAGATTGTATGTACCATGGTTTCTGAGTTATGAAATTAAAGAAAATGCTTGAAGTGTCGGCTTTAACATATGTTATGGTGCGCCTTTATATAATAATAGAGTTCTTCACTAACTGGAAAATTGTTCGAATTGTTTCGAATCAACTTTGTATCTTTTCTTGCAAGCCATGAACATTACTAATTTGTATAACATATACAATAGATTTTAAATTATTGCAAAAATAAAAGTTTAATGGGTTTACATCAGGAGATTGTGGGTTTATTTCGCCTTATTTATCGATCGGGGGTAAGAAGTTGTTTAAAAAATGTTTGAATTGCAACAGGGGAGTATCCTCGAGCATTCTCTTTAATCTTCCACAACTCAGAAACTATGTTATAAACAACCTATACATTAATAAATAATTAAAGTGTACAAAAGATCTCTATCATTTTACATAAAAAGAATATGCTATTTAATTTAAACTTATTTCCATTTGCATTTACAAAATGGAAAAAAATTATCAAGAATTTATCAAAAAATTATTACTAAAAATTAACAAAAAAGTTTTAAAAATGACAGATTTAAAATAAGTTTATATATAATAATTTTGCAAGATATATAATACTTTAAATATACGATTTAATTTTACGGTCACACCAACGGTGTACATTTATAAAACAATCTATTTCAGAGTACAATTATATAGTTTGACGCGCATACAATAAAAACAAGCTGAGCGTGGCCGAGTAACAATGTAAAGTACCAGTACTTCTCTTTGTGTGCACGCTTTCTCAATAATTATGATAAAAATTGTTCGAACGATGTTTCATTAATCAGTTTGCAAGCGTTAATTTCTAAAATGCCTGCCGGCGATTGCAGCGAATCGGGAAAAGGATACAAATGCTTTGAGAAGTTGTATTCGTCATTATGAAGATAAACGTCCCTATGTAACGATCTCGATATGATGAGTATTGAATTATACAAGCTTTCGACATTAGGAACGGACGCGCCGCAAAGTCTACTTCCTGTCTTCGCCATCGATATTCGACCCTTATCCGTTATTAATTTCTTAAGATATTAAAAAAAATTAAATAGTAGCGTAGAAAATTTAAAGCATAAAAATGGAATCATAATTATATTTATTTATATATATCTCATAATTATACAGTGTAATTTACTGAGTTGACTTGGGAAGTTAATAACTAAACTAATTTTCCGAGCCGAAATTTTTCTCCTGCTTTTGATCTCAATTTTCAGTTTAACATCTATTTATTCTATTGATTGGAATAATCAGTTTAATGAAGCGTATCAAGGATAAGTTACGCAATGAACGCGTTTTAAAAAAATCTTAATTTATATATAATCTTCGTACTTTTAATCTAATGTACATAAATTATAAAATTATAATGCAGCTTCTATACTTCTATGGATGTATAGACATTAATAAATAATGCATTATATCGCAATATGCTTTATCGACGAAATTATGACATTTATATGTTTGCGAATACACACAAATAGATTTACATATTTAATTAATTAAAAGTATATTATTATATATTATATCGCTCGTGACGCTTGATTCGCGAACAACATATCTATTGAATTAATCAACATATACCGCGATTTTTGTCTTGCATGCTTTATTTTTATCCTGATTTTCTTTACAACATAATATCGTTATGAAAGATACGTTCAAAAATTGTCCCAGCATTTCCGGCGAATATACAGTAATATAAATTATACATATAGCGCGCCTTTTTCCGGAATTGCATTGTCCCTCGAGTAGTTTCGCACTCGTATATAACACTCTTGTCAGCATACACTTATCTGAACTACTTCTTATTCCGATACGAAACGATGTAGACAAACTGGAAATAAATCGATTTTTCGCATTGCATCGACGCTTGCCAAGTTTCGCGTGCGCTTTTTAATACGAGCATCGCGAATTAGTCGATTCTCGCGATTGAACGAACGTATTGAACTTTTGAGGCCATTGTGAAGATCCTCTTCGAGGATAGTCAAGGATAATTAAAACGATATTGTTGAGGAGTCACGATTCATTGTTGAAGTTTTCGGGTATTCTTATCCCGTTGGGGACAATGACACATTTACACAATATGAAATTCTCGCGAAATTCTAAGCTTTTAAATGATATGTCACACGACGTTGGTAAAAATTAAAGAAGAAACGCGCTTTTCCTTGGATCTTTCGCGTACATTGTGAAATCAACGTTCGCTTGTATGTACGTACATACAAATCTTATAAGCAGCGGCAAAAGATTCTCGGAAGAATTGTGATAAGAATCACCTTTTGTGCTTCGTAGATTACGTCGATATCCCGGAATATACTGTTGCTGCATGCGTGGGAGTGCATCATTTGTAGCGTCTTAATTGCACCTATACGTCTTTGTGTACTGCTTTCGATGAAATGTACAGTTTATCTTAAACAGATCGATATTTTGATCTATCCTGATATTTGTCCTCAATTTCATGATTACATCTGGGCAATATTAACATGAATTCAGTTTGATTCCGATAAGTAAGATATATCGTTAATTTTACATTAACGGAACTGAAAACAATTACATTTTCTGATATTTCCTCTTCCGAGATAAAAAAATGGAGAAAATAAATATACGGAAAGTTATAAAGATGTTAGAAAAGAAGCTCATATAAAAAAATAATTCTAAGAGAAGAAAAATCTTTTAAAAATTCGCGTTTTTTCCTATTACTTTTTAAAATATATATATTTTAGCTTTTTACTTCATAAAACATTATAAATATTTATATTTTTTAAATTACAAAATTGCAAGCGGGTGATACAGTTATTATTGAACATCTTGTATATATAGATATTTAAATATTAGAGAAATATTTATAAATGCAAAGGAAAAAAATATTATTAAATTATATAAAGAAACTATAAAAGAATATAAAGAATTAAAATATTATAGTAGTTAAGAAATAACTGTATCTCTGCGATGAAAGATTTGTTGAATACATGAAGGATATGCAAACACACATAGAGTATTCTGTAATAATTGTATCACCTTTCGTGTGCTCTACCCAGAGCGGGTTAAACCAAGTAGGAAAATCTAGTGTTTTGCAATTTTTGCAATATTTAATAAAAACTTAATTAAAAAATAAATCTATCCATCCTCACGAATATATAAGCGTGCAGCGAGAAGAGACAGCTCATTGTTATGCGGTTGCTAAGCACAATACATAATTAAAGGCTTCATTATTAATTCCAATTTCCAAGCTTTATCGTATGCCAAGCAATCGTGTAACGGCGTAAGACGTATGCGCTTGTATTCGTACGGATTAACCGACTTTTTAAATTCTTATTAAATTATTAATATATATATTAAATTCTTAATTTTTTATTAATTATTGTGAAAATTACAAAATTGCAAGCGGGTGATACAGTTATTATTGAACATCTTGTATATATAGATATTTAAATATTAGAGAAATATTTATAAATGCAAAGGAAAAAAAGATGTACAAAATTTTTTTAGTTGAGATAAAGTAGCTTCTTTTACTTCATTAAAGGGTTGAAATTATAAATAAAACCGTTGCTGTTTTTAGCTGTATTTCCAAATTTTAATTGCAAGAAGTGTCAAAGTCAAATCAGTGAAGTATATATGTTGCCCTTCTCATCGAAAAGAAATTACGCGGTAACACTAAATTAAGAAAATCTAATACATCTAGATTTAGGTTTTCGATAATCGCGCGTTTGAACAAATAAAAATTGCAAAAGTATATGGTGCCATCGTTTGTAACGCGAAGAATGCATGATAAAAATTGTCTTGTATCTTATAAGATTGTTATTTACGAGCAATTTGTACCAAAGTACCTCCGCCTTCGCAACTGCAATTCTGCAACAGTCTCATCTCTATTTCTTGGCCGCGACTTTTCATTCAGTTTCGCACGAACAAAATTCATCCCTTCTTTTTCTCTCCCTCTCTCTCTTTATTTTTCTCTCTCATATTTTCTGGGTGGAGATTGCGGCGAATGATGACGTAATAAGGATACGGGGCCAGGATACGCACTCTCTGACGAGCAGAGGAGGAACGCGTTCATCCACCGGCGACGGTGGTGGTGGATGCGTGGCGCCCACCAGAGAGAGCCGATCCGTTCTTGCTCTCGCACGACAAACGAAGAACGAAGAGGAATAGAGGGGACAGGGGGTTGTGAGAGAGCGGTATAAATGTAGCTCGCGCAAGTTCCACCAATCATTCGCCCTCTGACCTCGAAACTCTTGGAGCTCTTTTGCCTCTCTTCAACTACTTGGCGGTATACGAGAAACGTACCCTGCTACCAGCCGTACGTACACCACCACCACTTCGAGCACCATCCCTCGTGACGCGATTCGCGCCTCGTGAAGAAAAGGAAGAAGCGGTACCAAACGACGGAACAGTCGCGGGACCAGTGCTATCGTGGTTACGCAGCACAGGGCAGCAGAGCGAAAGGTTTCCTTATCAACAAGATGACGATCGTGAGTATCATCCGCTTTTCTTTTCACGCTTTGTTTTCCTTTACCTTTTCCTACCCCTATTTTTCGCATTCCTTTCTTTGCTCACAAAATGAAACACGAGCGGGGATGGTATGCAGTTTACACAGTTTGTAGATTTGCGTCAGAATTTTATTCCGTCTTCGGAGATTTTCAGTGCGTTCTTGTGCATCGCAGACGCAATTTTTATTTTTATTTCTATTTTTTTTTTTTTTTTTGTTAAGAGTATAATAAAGCAAGGAAGGATTTATAAAATAAAAAATTAAGAAAAATCACAAAAAATATATTTTGCATCTGTCGGAAATGAGGAAGAAAAGATTTTAACGCTTGTTTTGCAAATTCGAAAGACGAGTTTCTTTTTATATTTAACAAAAGAGATATAAAACGATTTATTTATACATCAGCGTATTCGAAAAACTACCAACATATTTTCCGAAGTATCGCAATCACTAATTATTCCATTCGCAACTATTGCAATTCTTGATCGCTTAGATGGTAACTATAACTGTCTATTGTTAAATATGTTATATAAAAATATAAAAAAGGAATATATGTAATTAATAATAAAAAGAAAGTATTAGAAAATTTTAAACGCACGGTGCAGACATAAAAACAGCGATGAAAACTACCAGCAAAAACAATCGCGACAATAACAGACAACAGTCGAGTGCGAAAAAACATTAAGTTTTTTTTATAGTACAAGCTAAATGTTTATGGAGGATTAATCGATCGGCGATCGCATTACAAACTGGATTCAAATTATACGACGTTTGTTCGCGCGTTTTATTTCGTTCGTTCATCCGTTTTAGTTTTTACATCCGGAAAAGTGTAATCGAAACCGGAGACGGGTAAGTACCACCCTCGTTTTCCGCCGATGCACCGCTACGATCGCGTATAACAGCAGCATATATACGAGAAAAGACATCCCCGTGAAATTTTCGAATTACTGTTCTCCGAAACTCCATGTAATGATGGCGGGTAAATCGATCGGCGCTCCGAATTACTCTTGTGAGAGAAAGTGTTTTTTGATAAAATATAAAATTGTTTTCGCTTTTCTATATCGAGAGTATTTCTCAATAATAGATAGAATTATTTTCGCTTTTCAAACTCGAGTAAATTCCTTGCAATGACGTATTATTTGTTTAAATATCTGTTTACATTGCAATGGAGGACGTGGTATGTTGAAATGTTTCTCCATCGTGCATTTTTGACGCATATTTGTTAGACTGACATTCGTAAATAATTAAAATATACTGTGATAGAAATACTTTAATTACGCGTGTATGATCTTTTCAAATTAAACGCGTGCATTTTTTCGGCTTATTTCGGTTTCAATATTTCTTTACGTTACACACATTTGCATTTGGAAATAGAGATACGTATATTAAAATAGTTTTATCACAAAGGTCTCGATACTTTTTTTGAGAATTGTATCACGTCAAATGGAGAACTTGACATGAAATGGATGTTGATTGGGCGAGACTTCTGACAATATACGTCAACTGCGTTCGCAGCAACAGTTTTTCGAATAGACTACGCGCTTGACATGTCATCGTTACTCTAGCGATGTGTCCCGTGGTATCCGAAATGTCACATTTCATGGGTCATTGCAAATCTGTTAAACCCGGTTAAAAACTACATATCATCGGCCAATATACATAGCAAAAAAAAAACTGGGAAAAATATATTTGTAATTATAATTGAGAAACTTTTGAAAAATACACGATAAAAGAGTGTGCGTAGGCATAATAGGTATGTATAAATGTATATAAAGGATACTTCATAATATGTAAGACCCATTTTAGGAATGCATAAATAAATGTTTAGAAGTTACCGGAAATCATTTTGAACATTTATTGAAATAAATAAATTTATTGCATTTATAATACGATAATTTTGGAATTAAAACAGAATTATTGCAAGTGATACTTCGAGTCTTCTTAACAATCAATGTATATACGTTATTATTAATAATGCTTTTAATAAAAAATATATTTAACCAATTCATCTATAATAGTGAAATTCGAGAAAATCGTCTGAATATTTATTTATTAAATTAGTTATTTATTCATAATATTGTCGAGAAAGATAGTCATTATGTCATTAATATTTCTCGAATATTTTGCAATATAGATCCAACGTATTTATCGCAAAAATCTTTTATCGTTTGTATTTTTTGGCCACATTCGGAGCAACGCGTGAGTTAGTTTTGCGAGTTAATATCGCGTGTGTATATATTTCCGGGACGAACTATATCAAAGGGCAAATGTAACCGTTGCGGAGATGTTGGAGACATTATGTCTAGTCCGAGTAGTCGCCAGAGAGTGCATAAAGTTTCTTTACTCGCTGCCAGTTAGTGGACATATATATGTATACACGTCGACCGTGGACGGGGGGATTTTACGAGAAGTGCTTTCGTTATTTTCTCTTGACGATATACTAAGTATTCTTTTACGAGAATAATTCCTTGGACGCATTAATCTCCCCTAATCGTGGAATATTTCTTTCGCGATACATTAGTTGTCGAAATTATGTTCCGGTTAAATTATTACAATAGATACCGGCGCGCGCGATAATAGGCAATGATGTATACAGTACAATAAATAAAACTAAATTAATCTGATCTTACGATTTAACGTGATGTAATATTAGACGACGTTTTATCTCGACCATGGAATAAAAAGAGACAAAAGAAAACTCTTAAGGAACGTTACTTAAGAAAATATCGACATGACGATTCAACTGACCGACTTTTAAGGGAAAACAATCCCGGATCGAAGCGAGTATAAGACGCCCCCCAGCCAAAGAAACCATCTTCTCTCAAGATAGTCTTACCACGTCGTCTGTATAAAGCTCGACGATAATCCGCGGGATAATACGACGAGAATCGTCCCGTTGAAGGACAATGGATTCGCGCGGGTAACCCTTTATCGCGACCCGCAATCGCGAGCATCGACGAGCAAAAGACGGGGAGATACATCGCTCGATAATTAATGAATTAGAGACTGCGTGAGATAAAAGACTCCGCTTCCACGATCGTGTCGCCGATAATATTGAGAAAAATGAATCGACGGATCGGAAAATCGGCAACGATCGAAGGATACAGTGGAACGGAAGCGATCGAGGAGAAAACGTAGGAGGGAAGGGGACGGTGCTTTTTGTGTGCCACCAGACGGAGAGACGCCACGACGTCCCATATTCGAGAGACGAGCGTAACCACGCGACGACTCCTCTTCGCTACCCCCCTTTGCCCCAACCGTGGGGGTGTTTCGCACCCCGTCGCTCATCTCGTCCCGTTTTTCCGCTGTTCCTTCTCTCTGGATCTCGCTCTCTTTTTTTTACCCTCCCTTTCGTTACATGCTGTCTGTTCTTTCTTGTTTCGCCTCGTTTCCCTCGATGGCGTCTCAGCGTGCTCGAAAACGCGTATCATTAACTCACCAATGAAGCTGCGATATCGAACAAACGAGCGAATCTATCGCGCGATTACGCAGCTGAATCGTGTCGCGATCGTTTATCAGTGTCGAAAGGAGAAGTCAACGTTTTGCTCCCTTCGAGAAGGAGCTTCGAACGTCGCGAAAACTTTGCGGATTATGAACGCGAAAACATGCGTGGGCATGGAACGATTTTGTCGTGTTGACCCTTTTCTCTCTCCTCCCTCCTCTCCCCTTTATACGCGGCGGGATGCAAAATGCTAGATGAACCGTGCATATCCTTTCGCAAAAAGATAGAGTTATCAAACATAGGTTCTATTTTCCCTCCGCTTCTTTTTCTTTTCTCCACTTTCGCAAATATGGAAAATGTAAAGCTGGATTCAGGATACAGAGTTGATCGAGTTTTCGATATTTTAGAGTGAATATGCAGGACATTCTGAAAAGAATATCTTAGAAATTGATTCTTTGTAGCCAGTTTTCGTCCAAACAAAACATGTCAACCGAGATCATAATTTGTCGCGGTTTTTCAATCTTTTGCATGAAATTTTTTGAAGGAGATAGAATGTCGAATGCAATCTCTGTTTCTTTTATTCTTCGCATTGTTTTATTTTCAACATAAAATTAGTTTTAAATTTGTCAAAGAATTTTTCTAAAAAATTCTTTTCGGTAGACACTTTGTATTAAATAATAATTTTATCTATGTTTTTTTTAATGATAATATAATCGTCGTAATGTAATTCGCGTACACAGATTATATAAAGAAAACACATCGTATGCAGTGCAATTGTAATAATTGTTACAAGTACAATTGCATCGTGCGAGAAATACCAATCCATTACACTCAAAAAAATGTCTTGCTGATATAGGTAGATTTCTAGGTGTCACAACAAAAATTTATCGCTATTTTTTGTATCTGTTAGAATATTGTCTGTTACATATAGAATTTATAGCAGCAATATTCTAATAATATCTTCTAGAAAATTTAGGTCCCATTGCCAAATGTTAATCACTGCATTGGATAAATATGAGTTTCGATACTACAGAACGATCTTTGTGAGAAATATAACTGCCAATTATAACTGCAGCATCGAAAAATTGAGAAAAATTGTTTAAAAGAGCTAGATAGATTGAGCGCGTTATACAAATATGTTAGACGTGAGGATTATATATTCATTTGTTTCTTGCCGCTAATTTTTTCTGTCTACCACAGCCAAACTTTATAACAAGTATGATTGGCCTTAACATGGATAGGCGCCACAGAAAAACATTCTTTCTAAATTTCACAAACAGTTCAGATATAAATTCTGTCTCTGTCACTTAGATTGATTAAATGCGAAACATATGCGATATCACAGTATTTGCTAATCATTTATGTACCTCAGTTAATTTTGCGCACCAAGAAAATTTTTGCTGTAGTTGCAATACCACTTTTTTGAGTGTACGATTATTCTCACAATACTTTATGAATTATCTATGCTTTGTCTTCACAAAATATAATACTTTAAAAAATTATATGGAGATACATTTTTAAAGTTACAATTAAATATTCGCGCA